CGTTGTGGGACAGTCAAACGCTTTACCCACAACGCCCCCTGCTGGTCCCACTAGGAGAATTTTTAAAGAAAGAAAATTAAAGGGAGCACAACTCCTGAGTTAAAATAATACTTCTATCATGAGTAGTCCTGAAAAACAGTAATCAAATTTTGTCACCAACGCTAATAACCTTTATACTGTCTTTTAAACTAATAAGGATAGCATTCCCTTTTTAGAAAACCAAGCACACAGAATTGCCCAGCAAGGGATTATTAAAAGTGTGATCCATGGGTCACAAGCATCAGCATCACCTGGGAGCTAATTAGAGATACTGTTCTAGGCCCCCCTACAAAACTACTGAATTAATCTCTGGCAGAGACTTACAAGTTTTCCAGCTGACTCATGCAAGCTCAAGTTTTAGAAGTACTAGCACTATCTTACCTGCACTGACAGATCCAAACTAGCCAATATACCAAGTCAACTGTTAGCTCAGATACAAGGTAACCATCACCAGCATACAGTCAACTATCTGTATCTGTGGGTTCTGCATACATGGGTTCAACTATCCACAGATCACAAATATTTTGGGGGAAAACAATAAAAAAAATACAATAACTTTTTTTTGCTTTATTTATTATTTACTTAATCTTACTTATTCATTCATTTATTTCGATTTTGACCAGAGAGAGAGAGAGGGAAAGTGAGAAAGCAAGCCACCAGGTTCAGGACTCAAACCGTGATCCACCATGTGGGAGTGTCCAGTGCCCTAATCACCATGCTACCTGCTGGCCCCAAATACAATAACTTTAAAAATATAATTACATTATATTATGCATTATAAATAATCTAGAGATGATTTAAAGTATACAGGAGGATGTGTGTAGGTTATATGCAAGTACTATACCACATCCAGGGATTGTGGTATCCACAGGGGGTCCTGCAACTAAGGCACCACAGAAATTTAGAGATAACTATACTATATATGCATGAGAATAGATGCTGGGCAGAGTGAGGAAGTACAATTCTCTCTGTGGTACTGAGGAAAGCAAACTGTCACTGAAGTAGGAGAAAAGTAAAGGGACCTATAAAGTCCTTAGAAGAGTTGGCGTGACAGTCCTAAAAAGAATCCAATGGAAAGTGGAAAAAGAGAGGATGGAATGATGCATGGGTTTAAGAAACACGAAAAATAGGGGCTAGTAGATGGCATAATGGGTACATCCCTGGACTGCCATATGACCAACCATGTCCTGGACCCAGTGGCTTCAAACTCATGCCAGGCACATGTGTGTGCATGCCCAAGATCCTGGGAGGAGAATGGAGAGGGAGGAGACTATGGTGTGGCCATCCCCTGTGGGGGGTGATTTCTCACTTTACATCTCTCTGTCTGCCTGTCTCTGGTGAGCACACATGCCCTAAAGCAAAAGCATTTTTAAAAAAGTTTAAGCACCAAAAATATTTTCCAATTTAATCCTCTATAAATTATTAGCATAGTCATGTGTTTGGAACAGAATAAGAGGCCAACATTGCTTCTTGCAATGTACTGGAACAAAGGCTGGCTTGGGCTTGGTTTAGAGTAATCAGGGTTCAGAACTACTATAGGAGTGGGGAGACAGAGTGGTAAACTGTAGAAGCTGGACTCTCAAGATGTCATGATGAGTACTGGAAGATCAAGGGAACTCCAATACTGTTTGGTTCATTTTTGTTTATAGATGCCAGTGAATCAAAGATGAAAATACCAAACAGTTAGAAATAAAGTCAGGTCTCTGGAAAACAGCACTGGAACTAGAAGATGTACAGTTGAAAGGTAAAAGATAAACCTCTAAGAGTGATTAAGGGACCAAAAAAGGGATTATAAAAAGGCAAGAAGAGTTGAAGGAATAAAAAGCAACAATATACAAAAAAAGCAAAAAAAAAAAAAAAAAAAATGAGGGAATTGGATAAAATTGTTGAAAATGAAGAGTTATTTTAAAAAAAAAAAAAAAAAAAGACAGGACCAAAATAAAGTTAAAGGTGATAGGGTCAGGCAGTGACATGGTGTTGGGATACCACATGGCTGATTGAGTAAACTGAGTTCCAGACCTGGTGGCTTGAAAAACATGTATGCATGCACACCCAAAATTCTGAGAGGAGGAGGAGTTGTGTCATGGCCATGGACATCTCCCCGGGGGTTGATTTCTCTCTCTTTCTCTCTCTCTTCAGTGGGCACATGTATCCTATTCCAAATTTTAAAAAAGTAAAAGATCACTAAGCTCAGAGCTGATTGAATCAAGTATAATTTGGTAGTCTAGAACGCTACCTAGAGAAAGATCTAAAAGCATAAGATATCCAAACATAACAAGTATGACTGAAGATATAAAGGAAGCTAGGACAAAACAAAGCAGCATTCAAAATACATGACTTCCAGGGTAAGGCTGACAACAAAATTGGATTGGGGCTGCCAGACTGGAATAAGAGTCAAGACCTGAAAGTTATGGGGTAATGAGAATTCAAAACAAATATTGTATATGAAGTGACATGGGACAGTGGTAAGAAAGGGTAAAGAGTCTGAGGTGGATGTCAAGTGTTAGCACTAAAGAAAATAACATGAGGTCAGACTGATCATCAAGTGGAAAAAAAAAAAACTTCTGTGAACTAGGTGCTGAAGCCAGTAGAAAACATGAATGAATCTTTCAAAGTGGTAGTTGACTATGATTAGAAAGTAACATAGGGGTCTTGTAATCTGCAAGAAAACCACTTTATTTGTTATACCTTATTTCTGACTCAATATAAATGAAATTACATCAATTTAATAATCAACTAATCATAGTTATATCCAAATACTTTTTGGCTATTAAGAAAACCCATCTGGAAGAATAAGCTCCTACTAAT